CTCGAATTCTCGCCACCGCATTCCCCGCACCCCCCGCACACCCACCTTCTCCCTTCCGCATCTCCCGCAGCGGCGGCGGCGCCTCTCGCGGCGGTGGGCCCAGCAGCGCGGCGGCGGCGGCGGGTGGCGGCGCCGGGGTTTATTTGTTCCCCCGCGGCGGGGCGAGGCGGGGCGGGCGAGTGCAGGGCGGAGGGCGGAGCAGGCGCCACGGGATAGGCGGGGACGCGAGATCCGGGGCGGCGGCGCGATCTGGGCGGGGCATGAGATTGGGGCCGGCGGCGCGGCGGTGAGGCGAGGGCGAGGCGCGGCGCGGCGCCCGGCGGCATGACGACCAACACCAAGCGCGCGTACAAGCTCCGTATCCTCGATTCCGTCCAGATTTTTTTTTTCTTCCGCGGGGCTCTTTTTCAAATTGTTTGTTCGGGGAAGAGGTAGCTGCATTGCGCGAGTCCGTTTGACCGATGCGTTCTCTGCCGTCGCGCTCCTTCTGCTGATTGGACGAGCCGGCTCCGCGAGAGGCTTTCAGCGTTTCTTCTCGTGGTTGACATTGGTAGAGTGCCGCACGACTTCGTGGCGTGTGTGAGATTTATTTTGGTGTGATTTATCGAGTAGCGATTGATTACTTCATGTTGGGCTGTTTGCTGCTTGCTGGCCAGTCTTTGGAGCGTTATATTGGGTTAAGTGTGAAGCGCGGATTGCTATGAACACGTGTTCATGAAATGCCTCAAGTTAATTTCGTTGCTAAAGTTGCGACATTGGGTTGCCTTGACTCTCATTTGCTGTAGAGGAGTTTGTGGCGCACTCCTCCAATGTCAACTGCCTCAAGATTGGGAGGAAGACATCGCGAGTCCTTGTCACTGGAGGAGAGGATCATAAGGTTAATCTCTGGGCTATCGGGAAGCCCAATTCGATATCGGTAAGACTATTCTTTTGCTGACTCTAATAAGTATCACCTAGTCTGCTGAAGGTGATTGCGTAATTGAGTAGGCGAATAGTACCCCGAACTCAACCAAATGAAACTCTTGACTGACCCTTGAGATGATTGCTAGATGAAAATTTCACCAGCATAGCTGTTGATGACTTCAGCATGCTTCTCTTCATGTTGGTTTTCAGTTAATGTTGATATTGTTTTTATGTTAACTTACTATCGACCTACTAAATGAATATGTGCCTGAGAAAGGTCACTGTAGTTATCAGAAGTTTCATATATAATGTCTTTAGTTGATGAAACAGTTAATTTGATTCACCTTTTTTTGTTTTTCCCCCGATTAACTTGCCTCACCTTCTTTCTTATCTTTTGGTTGTACAGAGTTTACCGGGGCATACAAGTGCTGTGGAGTCAGTTGCATTTGATTCCACAGAAGTATTTGTGGCTGCAGGAGCAGCCAGTGGCACAGTAAAATTATGGGATCTAGAGGAGGCGAAGAGTACGTAACTATGGATACATGACTTAATCTATTTGTGTTTATGAACATCCATGCTGTGTCATTATCTTTTATTATTTGCATAACTTGGTGGTTATGTGTGCAGTTGTCCGCACGCTTACTGGACATAGATCAAACTGTATGTCAGTTGATTTCCATCCTTTTGGGGAATTCTTTGCCTCTGGGTCTTTGGACACTAATCTGAAGATATGGGATATAAGAAGGAAGGGCTGTATCCACACATACAAAGGCCACACCAGAGGGGTGAATGCTATTAGATTCACACCTGATGGCCGTTGGGTTGTGTCTGGCGGTGAAGATAGTGCAGTGAAGGTAAGATTTGTTAGCAATGCTTTTGTGTATTTCAGCTGCTAGTTTTGGTCATGTGGTTTCATTTCTTTCATAATCCTTTGGATAACACACCGTATACTCGTGCTTATAATTTAGTATGAGTTAAATTTAAATTCTCAGCACACAGCCTATCTTTCTTGCACTTAAACTCAGCATGATCATTACATCTCCTACTGTATTGAACTCATAATCAGTTTTGCCTTGGCAGATCTGGGATTTGACAGCTGGAAAGTTACTGCATGAGTTCAAATCCCATGAGGGTCAAATTCAGTGCATTGATTTCCATCCCCATGAGTTCCTTCTGGCAACAGGTTGGATTCACAGTTTATAATGCCGACCTGTCATCTATATGTTAACTTTTCTTTGCCCTTTTTGTTGTAGTAGACTAGTAGCACTTTTTGATACTTTATTTAAATATCAAACTTCTGTCTTTCCTCCTTGTTAGGGAAAACACTTAATGCTCATTGAGAACGTACATGCTATTTAAAGACTTGGCCCGAAAATGAACCATTATAGTAATAAGTTACATATTATACATACTGGCCCACATGCAATATTTTGACTAGGCCCACCTATCAGTTTAATTAACTTCCCTTTGTTTACTATCCGGGATTGCAAATGTCAAATTGTCTTGTTCTGACATATTTTAATTTGTTGCATCTGTCATGTATCTCAACCTTAATTTCCCTATCAGCTATTTCTGTCAGTGTATGAAGTTATCTTTGCCTGTCCTATGTCTGATTTGCAACTATGAGTTTATTACATGACACTGGTTGGCTCACTCAGGTTCAGCTGATAAAACTGTCAAGTTCTGGGATTTGGAGACCTTCGAGTTGATTGGATCTACTGGACCTGAGGTATATCTTTTTATTTGACTTTCCTTGAAGATTATCGACCCTACCCAGTTTAACTTTGTCAAACATTGCAACCCAGAATTTTCTTTAAGCTTGAGCTCACTGGTTCCAGAACTACAATGTAGGAGAATGAATGTTGGTGTCTCTTTTATTTAGTCCCAAAAGTACTATCTGAAAGTACAAACAGGGGGGAAACACCTGAAAGCCTCTTTCCTGTGTTTGAAGGAAAATAGAACTAAATAGGAAATAACATGCCAGTGATGCCACGATAATGCTCATGACATCGTTGAACTTCTGTGATGCTCAATGCCCTAAATCACATTGCCATATGTTGTGGTCAGCATCATGTCTTTATGTCATTAGCTTTACACAAAGTAATTACCTTGTGGGATGTTCTAGTACATATGCTTTAAAAATTAGTCAGGGTTGGCAATTTTAGATAGAAAACTTTGTTAACTTTAATCCAGTGTTGTAATTGTTAATGGTACAATAAGGATTCCGATACTAGCCTAAATATACAACCAGTACCTTATGTGCTCTCATAGTGACAAGTGCAATATATGGAAAACTGGGGCTGATATAGACTGCCAGAAGATGTTCTACAGAAAACAAAGAGATTTGAAATAACACTATTCATATGACCACATATCAGTTTAACATGTGCTTTCTTTGTTTTTTGCTTATTTTCTCTACCGGTAAGCAACAAGATGTAAACATCGTCTCCCCAATTGGTGGCTCCAGCAGAGACCTTGCCTCCAATTTCATTACAACAACAGCCAGAGTAAAACAAATAGCACCTTGCCTCCAATTTCATTACAACAACAGCCAGAGTAAAACAAATAGCACCTTGGCTGGTAGTTGGGACACTATTTACTCAATAATAACATTAATTGGTTTCTCCCTTCTTAGTCATTGAAACAGTACAAGAATGGGAAGGAACTAATATCACCTCTAGCCTACCCCAACTTGCTTGGGGACTAAAGGCTTTGTTGTTGTTGTTGTTGTCTGAAAATATCAACCATATCAATTCAACTTACTTGGCATTGGTCATGGCAGGGCTAAAAATAAACCATATCACCCTTCAAAACTAAATGGATTAGTTGTAATCTCCTCCATTGATCTGTACTGAAATTTGTTAGCTTAAATGAATTAGGTGTGCTGAGGTAAGACCCCTTATCATATTCATGTAGTTACTTGCTAATGTTTCTACTTGAATATCAGATGACAGGTGTACGATCCATGACATTCAATCCCGACGGAAGATCTCTGTTATGTGGGCTGCACGAGAGCTTAAAGGTAGCATTGCTGTTTCCTCATGTGACTGTTACTGCAGACTTTTCGTTTCCATGTCTTTCAGAGGTAACTTCTCTTAAATTAAGCAGGTTTTCTCTTGGGAACCAATAAGATGCCATGATACTGTAGATGTGGGATGGTCTAGACTATCGGATCTGAATGTCCATGAGGGAAAACTTCTTGGTTGTTCTTCTAATCAGAGTTGTGTTGGAATATGGGTTGTTGATCTAACGGTATGTTATTGGCTTCCCAGCTATGTTTCTAATACCAATATCTTATTCTCTGTCGTCTCTTGTTTTTAGTTGACTGATAACCAAACAATCAATTGGCAGCGTCTTGAGCCACATGCAACTACTACTTCAGCATTACTTAATGGCCGTTCTGAATTGAAGACTTCATCAGGTGGCACTATGCCATTACAAAACGACAGTGGTTCAAGGGCTAACATAGGGCGATCATCAGCTCTACAAAATTCAGAGAATAACTTAAAAGCTTCTACAGGAAGGCTCTCAGTTTCTCAAAATTCAGATTCTGCACCCAAAGAGATTAAGCCGACAGCTCGTATGCCACTAATCTTCTCTTTTTAGACATGTTTGTAATTTAGTGTTTGAAACACAGCATATGTCTAATCTGTACTTTGTCTGTTCTTGTTATGATAATGAAGCAAGTGGCTTGGTCCCAAGCACTCCTCAAAGGGTCGGAACTGGCTCCAGTACTAGAACAGCTGGAAATTCAACTTATGCATCTGGTGGCACCACATTAAAGAGAAGTTCACTGAAGAGTAACAGCACTTCTAATCTTCATAATTTCAGTAAAACTGACGTGGTGCCTGCTGCTGTTATCATCCCAAGAACTAGCTCAGGAGCAGAGCTTGGTACTGGTTCAAGAAGTTATGCTGCTGATGTGGCCCCTGTTCTTTCGAAGGCAAGCAGAAGGGCAGAGCCGGCTACTGATCCTAGGACAGAAAGTGCTGATGTGGCACCTGCTGTTGTTCCCAGAACAAGTTCAAGAATGGAAATGGCCTCTGATTCAGCACCTGATGCTGTTTCTAGGGTAGGCAGAAGGTTGGAATCTGCTGCTGATTCTAGGAAAGAAAGTGCTGATGCAGCACCGGTCGTTCCCAGGGCTACTTCAAGAATGGAAATGGCCTCTGATTCTGTACCTGTTCTTCCGAAGGCAGGCAGAAGGTTCGAGTCTGCTACTGATTCAAGAAAAGAAAGCACTGATGAAGCACCTGTTGTTGTTCCTAGAGCAACTTCAAGAATGGAAATGGCCTCTGATTCTAGGAGAGAACCTTCTGCAGGAAGAGTATCACCATTTAGGATCCAATCAAGGTATGCTGAACCAAGGAAATCAACCAATGTGAAAGTTGATATGGACAAAGTTGATGTGGGAAGCAAAGATACTGAAAGTGACGACCTTACTTGTCAAATATTTCTTCCTCGGAGGAATGGTGCTGTTCAAACAGTGATTCCAGAAGAAACTCGTGAAGATGTAAAACATGGTTCAGTTTACAGGTCGGGATTTTCAGGTTCAGCAGAATCAAATACAAGCCACCGGAATGATAATTGTATGATCCTTGCCCTGAACATGCTTATCTGTTTTATGGACTGCTGTAGTTTGATTTGAATTGTTTCACAGACATTAGTGGTGCCTGATTTACCTAAAAAGTAGTTCCTGCCTTCTTGCATCATGTGCTCGAAACAATGATTCTTGTGTGAGTTTGATGAAATTTCCATTCCCTTTTGTCCTGTACTGATTCAAGTGTTAGGAACAACTAAATTTATTCATTCGAGGTTCTTCAATTATTTCTGTAGGTAGATGTTTTCCATATGCAATAGTTGCCAGTGAATTTGAAGAACCTATCCGTGGAACACTGTTAGTTTAATCTTGTCTACGTTTGGCTGTGAAAACTTGTGCTCTAAATGCTTTGGAAAATTTCTATTCTGTTGTCAAGTTATTAGTTTTCCTTTGTGTTTTGGATTCATAAGTTTCATTTGATAAATCATGTGCACAATTTAAAGATTACCTGTAATTTTCATGTACAACTAAGTTGTAACTGCTTGAACATTTGGTGCTATTGTGCAGATGTTCCTAGAATGCGTAAGCCAAGAGATAACTGCTACATTGAAGTTTCAAGAGCAGGTATATAATTTGCTATACTTTGGTGCTTGCAATAATTTGTTCTTCAGGCCTGAATCGTATAGTATTTCCAGGAAGAACAAGATCAATTGTTTCTAATTGGGAAGGCAGGGATCAGTCCCCAAGTCACGAAGAACCAACAACAAGCAATTCAGCGTTGGGGGCTCCTAGAGGCCGAATATATTCATCTGTATGTGAGACAACCCATACACTTTTAGAACATTCTGTTTATTTTTTGCTCTGACTGTTAGATTCAATGCACAAATCTTTTCTATTTAGTTGTTCCATAGTTGATACTGTTGTTATATCATGTTTGATAAATTGGAATTTGGATTTATTAAAAGAAGGAAAACCGTAAACAAACTAATTTCTGTAACTTCTTTTTTGCCATCTGCAGAGAGGAAGCAGTCAAGCAGCTGAAACTAATATCGTAACTAGCGAGGAAGATGTTTTATCTGTTCTAATCGAAGAGCATGATCTATTTTTGAGTTCAACACGGTCACGGCTGACAAAATTGCAGGTCTGTATGGTGCTTCACTTTTTCTTTTGGAGTGTAATATTGTTATTCTTCAGGGGAAACAGGACATCCTAATCTCGAATGTTCTCAAACTAACAGTGTTACATTTAAACTGACTAAGATATATGCTGCATGCTATCAATAGAATGTGAAAAATATATAAATGTATGCAGTGTCCTATGTCATGGTATTCCAGATTTGAATAGAGTTCGTTTCTTCAGAATGAAATATGGCTGGTTGAGTTAACTATGTTATCAGTGTACCACGATCTTATTCAGCAGACCTGTGAACGGATAGTCTTCCAAACATGACTGCTAACAGACTGTATCTTGCTGCCTCAAATGTTTTAACTGATCCAAACATGTATCGAATGTATCTTACTCACAGATTCTGCACCAAATGTGGCAAAGAAATGACATCAGGGGTGTTTTCTCAGCGCTGGAGAAGATGTCCGATCATGCTGTCAGCACTCTGCATCCTTTTTTTCCTGTTCTGCATGGAATAACCGTTGCATTGTTGATTCATAATTATAAGATTTCTGCTAACTCCAGGTATGTGCTGATATGGCAAGTGTTCTGATGGAGAAAAGCGAAGCCATCACACTAGATTTATGTACCACTATCCTGCCTGTCCTTGCTGACCTTTTGGAGAGTAAAACTGACAGGTAGCTCTTCTTGTTTTGTGTATCGGTATGATTATGTTCTGGGTTGATTTACAAACGGCCATTACTCGTACCGAAGTTGTGATTGATTCATATATATTGTGTTACCAGGAATTGCCATGTCACCGTTCATCCATTTGTTTATTTATTTTTACATTGCAATAAATCTTTGCAGGCATGTAGCCGTATCACTGGAACTGGTAGTGAAGCTTGTCAGGACTTTTGGGCCTGTAATACATTCAACAGTGTCGGTTGGTCCATCTTCTGTTGGTGTAGATCTTGAAGCAGAGCAAAGGTATTGTTTCAGTCAAATGTTTTCCTGATATGCCATCACTAGAGATTGCCTTATGTTATTTTACTTGTCTTGTCATCGTAGGCGGGAGAGGTGCAACTTATGCTTCATAGAACTGGAGAAAGTTAAAAATAAGCTTCCTTCCCTTATGAGGTACCGGGCAATCTTAATATTTTTATTGAAAATCTTAATATGATACATTACTGGACATCGTCTTCTATCTGTACCACCAACCGTTGGTATTGGAGTCTTGGACCAGCGCTATTCTGAACTGAACTCAGTACAAGAGTTTGCCCTTTATGATGCTCATACTTTGTTACTTTTCTGTTTACAGAAGAAAAGGGGCAGCTTCAAACACAGCGCAGGAGCTCAGTCTTGTCTTCCAGGAAATTATGTCGTAGACTGACCACACATTCTCAATACAAACACACAGTTGAATGGGAGATGCTTTCTTTCCCTCTGGTCTCACGATGGAGCGCTGCTTGTTTTCGTGCGCTACCGTGAAGCCCCCAGGTCACGCCCTGTGGTAGTAACATTTTGTTGCTACTGATCCATGCCCTTTGTACAACACTAACCCTTATTGATTTGGCATCCTTGCCATTTGGAAAGAGAAGCCGCCAGAGCATCATCTTTGAGCCATAACACGGGGCGGTGTCCCTCGCGTCATGATTGTTTCACCGGCTGGCTTCGGAAGGTGTTCGTTTGGTCTCGACCTCGAAGTCAGAAGGCCTGCCTGTAAATGCTGTAGCCTCTCTCGCTCTGCTTGTGTATCAGCTTGCTTTTTGGTATGGTAGTTTGTTGTTGGGCTTGTATGATGTCTGGTCGATGCAGTGACAAGATTGACGAGTGTGTGTGCGTGTGTGGATCCGATACATGTACAATTGTACACCATTTTTTGTTGAAGAGTTTTGACACATTTAACTTTTGATTTGTCGCGCTGTCTCCTGGAAGTGTGGAACGATTCTCGCTCTTCTTGTTGGTACAATGAATGTTTGTGGTGTCTATTTCTTTCTTTTTTCATATGTCGCCTATTTTGTTCAGTTTGCCAAACTGCCTACACTTTTTCTGGCTTTGGTAGAATATATATTTGTCAATTAGCTTCTTGTTTTTCTACAAGAAAAGTTTGTTTATTAAATCATAACCCAAGAGACTGAAGAATGCTCATCACCGAGCAAACAAGTTAACATGGCGCAATTTTTATTCAAGTTTCATCCAAATTTCTCACCACAAAGTATCGTGCAACAGCACCAAACAAGATGTAGAAATTTCGCCAGCATAAACGCATCTAAGGAAAACAGCAACGGCAATGAGGACAAGGAGATGTTGTGTTGCTGCCCTAGCTCTAGCTGCTTGTCACCGTCGTCGACCGTCTCATAATCCTGACACTCCTGCAGTCGGAGACGAACATGTCCCAGGGGAGGTCGCCGGCGAGCAAGATGTCGCCGGCATTGTCCTCGTAGGCCACGGCCAAGTCCAGCATCTGGCCGGCCAGGCCCAAGAGCGCCGCCCTGAGCTCCCCGTGCCCACCGTACGCCCTCAGGTCCACCGTCCGCTGGTACCGGGCTCCTTCCACGCTCACCTTGACGTACTTGCTCTCCGCCGCCACCGCCGACGCGCCGCCGCTGTGCGGTGGGCAGAGCCGCAGCTCGGCGTCAACGGCCTCTCCCTCCATGGATGGGCTCGGGTGGATGGCCTGCAGATTTCCCAAAAAAGGAGGTCGGAAATGGGGAGGGTAAAGGTAAACTAACGGCCAGCCTACGGCGAACGGGTGTGTGGCATCCTTCTTCTTGCTTAGGAAGGGGAGCAGAAAACACACCGTGGAGGGTCGCGGGCGAGGGCGAGCTCCAAGCCGAGGGTCGTCGGCGCCGTGCCGACTGAGCCCGCGCTGGCCGACGGTCGTCCGTAGCTGGGGATAGCCGTCGCCGGAGCTCACCGATTCCATCGAGGGCAGTCGCCGGCGCGAGGTCGGAGGAATGAAGACCGCCTGAGATCTGGGCTGCGAGCTGCTGCATATATAGCCGGAGGAACGCGCGCGGCCGTCTCCCGCCCTCCCTCTCCCTCACCCTCACCCTCACATGGTCGCTGCAGAGAATGGACAATCGGCGTCATGCGCTTGCTGAGCCGAGAATGGCAGCCCAGTCATGCCGATATCTGGCTGCTGAGCCGAGAATGGCATGCATGCGGCCGCAGCTGGGCACCACGGCTATGTGTGGAGAAGAAGAAGGAGGAGGCTGGGAACATGCATGCAGAGAAAAGAGGTCCATCCGGGCTGCATCGTCCGGGCGTTTCGGCCCTCGTTATGAAATGGAAATTCAGGTGGGCCGGGGCGGGGAGGGGAGCCACCAACAATTTCCGTCCATCATCATGTGTGTACGTGCGTCAGTACGTGTGCTCGCACCATCGTTGGTTCGTGCCCTGATCATCATCACCATCAGCATCTGCATCTGCATCGTGCGCTCGCCTGGGCCGTGCAGTGGGCTGAAAATGGACAGTCGCTGTCATGCTCGCATCTGGTTGTCGACCCCAAAATGGCAGCTCATTCACGACGCTCTTCTCCCCTGCCTGCCTCTGTCTCCTCCTCCGTGGCCCTCACGCCTCAACAAACACCGACACGAACTTAATCCGAGTTAATTGCATGAAAGTATCACACTTACACGTTGTAACGAATCAGTATCATTAGTATTTTCTTTTGCACGTACTCAACGTGCGTGGGCCTACACGCAAGCGAGCGCATGCATGCATGTACGTACTCGGTGTACGATGGGCCTCCTCTCGCGTCGCATCGTGCCAAATCGACATATACACACAGAACTACTACTCCCTTTATAGTGATCTAAATGCTTTTTATACTGTATTTCTTTACGAAGGAGTATTATTGTATGAAAGTTGGTGCGTAGCCCACATGTGCGCATGAATACATTATGCACGGCCACGGCATGTGTACGTACGATCGGCGCCACCCACGTCCCCGTCGTAGTCCATGCACGGTCTCCGCCTCCGTACGTCGTCGTCGCCGGGGCCCTCCCAGATACTCCCTCCGATCCTTTTTACTCTATGTATTAGATTTGAATTAAGTCAAACTTTACAAAGTTTGATCAAATATATATTAAAAAGTATCAACATCTACCATACCAAATATATATTTCATGAAACTACATTTCGTAATGAATTTAACAATATTGATTTGGTATTGTAAATGTTCATATTTTTTTCAATAATTTTGGTCAAAATATAGATGCTTTGACTTCAAACAAAATTTATATGCAGATTAAAAAGACCAGGGAGTATCTCGCTCGGTCTGCTGCTCCTCCTCGCGTCGAGCGCCAGGACACGTGCGTCGTGTGCTCGCTAAGCTCCTGTGTCGCGTCGCGTACGTACGTGTCCAGGAGTACACACTTGGGCTTAATTCTTTTTTTTTAACTTATGGTCCTGGTGCTTGTAAGACGAAAGACATTATATATGGTTACAGTAAATGAAATGAAGCTCTCTAAAATTCCTTTTTTTTCTTCATTATGTGGTTAGTTTAGTTTGCGTGCCTGTCCTCCCATATATACATCGAGAGAGGAGCTGGCCCGGAAAATACACTTTGGTTCCTGGTTGCATATACAATCTGTGCTCGCGAGGACAGGGATGACATGGTGGTGGGTGGAGCTGCTGTGCCCGTGTGACGCCCGGATAATTAAGCTACAGCAACCTCTGCTAATGATGCCATGGCACCATGATTACTATTGTTAATCTTGCGTTAGATCGAAATCGATTCAAATTCAAATTTTAAAAATAAAGACAAACATCAAAAGTTTTCAAACATTAAAACTAAATTTTTTCAAACTGGGACAAATAAATCCTAAGTAATAATGGTGGAGAAACCACACTTGTATAAAATGTGTAAATACTCAAACATGAATAAAGTAGTAGCAAGAACAATTAGTTAAATGATTATAAAATAATAAACAATACAAACTATTTTATTTTAGGTGACAAGTGCATTGTGGTAGTGGCTTTAGTATTAATAATATTTTAGGTACGACTTGGGTATTTCATAAAAATAAAAATTAATTAATAAAACAGAAAAGAAGAATTGAAAGAAAATAGAAAACAATAACTAAACAAAAAAAGGGGACAAAAGGCCCGCTTCCCCATTGGGCCTCTTGGTCCAGTCGGCTCGGCCGACCACGCCGGCCCAGCCAGCCCACCCCTCCCTTGCTTAACTCCCCCCAACACCCACGGGAACCCTAAGCCCACGACCGCGCATACCCCCACCCCGATGTCTCTCTCACCCGCACCCCCCGATCCATATCGGATCGGGCGCCTCGCCCTTGCGCCCCTCGTTGGCGCCCCGTCGCTTGTCGTCGGCCACAGCCGCTCGGAACCTCCCCGCAGGAGCCACCCCGCCGCCCGCCATCATCGGCGCCGCTGTTGGGGAACGTAGTAATTTCAAAATTTTCCTACGCACACGCAAGATCATGGTGATGCATAGCAACGGGAGAGGAGAGTGTTGTCTACGTACCCTCGTAGACCGACAACGGAAGCATTGACACAATGTAGAGGAAGTAGTCGTACGTCTTCCTGATCCGACCGATCCAAATACCGAACGTACGGCACCTCCGAGTTCTGCACACGTTCAACTCGGTGACGTCCCTCGAGCTCTGATCCAGCAAAGTGTTAGGGGAGAGTTTCGTCAGCACGACAGCGTGATGACGGTGATGATGTTCTACCGACGCAGGGTTCGCCTAAGCACCGCTACGATATGACCGAGGTGGAATATGGTGGAAGGGGGCACCGCACACGGCTAAGGAACGATCACGAAGATCAATTTGTGTGTCATGGGGTGCCCCCTTGCCCCCGTATATAAAGGAGGGAGAGGGGGAGGTGCGGCCGGCCCAAGGGGTGCGCCTGGAGGAGTCCTACTCCCACCGGTCCCCCCTCTTGCCTTGTTGGAAAAGGAAGGGGGAAGGGAGAAAGAGGAAAGGGGGCGCCGCCCCCCTTCCTTGTCCTATTCGGACTAGGGAGGGAGGGGGCGCGCGGCCTGCCCTGGCCGGCCCTCCTCTTCTCCCTTAGGGCCCACGTAGGCCCAATAACCCACCGGGGGGTTCCGGTAACCCCCTGGTACTCCGGTACAATCCCGATTTCACCCGGAACGTTTCCGATATCCAAATATAGGCTTCCAATATATCAATCTTTATGTCTCGACCAGTTCGAGACTCCTCGTCATGTCCGTGATCACATCCGGGACACCGAACAACCTTCGGTACATCAAAACACAAAAACCCTAATTACGATCATCACCGAACTTTAAGCGTGCGGACCCTACGGGTTCAAGAACTATGTAGACATGACCGAGACACGTCTCCGGTCAATAATCAATAGCGGAACCTGGATGCTCATATTGGCTCCTACATATTCTACGAAGATCTTTATCCGTCAGACCACATAACAATATACGTTGTTCCCTTTGTCATCGGTATGTTACTTGCCCTAGATTCGATCGTCGGTATCTCAATACCTAGTTCAATCTCGTTACCGGCAAGTCTCTTTACTCGTTCCGTAATACATCATCCCGCAACTAACTTATTAGTTGCAATGCTTGCAAGGCTTGAGTGATGTGCATTACCGAGAGGGCCCAGAGATACCTCTCCGACAATCGGAGTGACAAATCCTAATCTCGAAATACGCCAACCCAACAAATACCTTCGGAGACACCTGTAGAGCACCTTTATAATCACCCAGTTACGTTGTGACGTTTGGTAGCACACAAAGTGTTCCTCCGGTAAATGGGAGTTGCATAATCTCATAGTCATAGGAACATATATAAGTTATGAAGAAAGCAATAGCAACAAACTAAATGATCAAGTGCTAAGCTAATGGAATGGGTCAAGTCAATCACATCATTCTCCTAATGATGTGATCCCGTTAACCAAATAACAACTCATGTCTATGGTTAGGAAACATAACCATCTTTGATCAACGAGCTAGTCAAGTAGAGGCATGCTAGTGACACTCTGTTTGTCTATGTATTCACACATGTATTATGTTTCCGGTTAATACAATTCGAGCATGAATAATAAACATTTATCATGATACAAGGAAATAAATAATAACTTTATTATTGCCTCTAGGGCATATTTCCTTCAGTCTCCCATTTGCACTGGAGTCAATAATCTAGATTACACAGTAATGATTCTAACACCCATGGAGCCTTGGTGCTGATCATGTTTTGCTCGTGGATGAGGCTTAGTCAGCGGGTCTGCAACATTCAGATCCGTATGTATCTTGCAAATTTCTATGTCTCCCACTTGGACTAAATCCCGAATGGAATTGAAGCATCTCTTGATGTGCTTGGTTCTCTTGTGAAATCTGGATTCCTTTGCCAAGGCAATTGCACCAGTATTGTCACAAAAGATTTTCATTGGACCCGATCCACTAGGTATGACACCTAGATCGGATATGAACTCCTTCATCCAGACTCCTTCATTTGCTGCTTCCGAAGCAGCTATGTACTCCGCTTCACATGTAGATCCCGCCACGACGCTTTGTTTAGAACTGCACCAACTGACAGCTCCACCGTTTAATGTAAACACATATCCGGTTTGCGATTTAGAATCGTCCGGATCAGCGTCAAAGCTTGCATCAACGTAACCATTTACGATGAGCTCTTTGTCACCTCCATATACGAGAAACATATCCTTAGTTCTTTTCAGGTACTTCAGGATGTTCTTGACCGCTGTCCAGTGATCCACTCCTGGATTACTTTGGTACCTCCCTGCTAGACTTATAGCAAGGCACACATCAGGTCTGGTACACAGCATCGCATACATGATAGAGCCTATGGCTGAAGCATAGGAACATCTTTCATTTTCTCTCTATCTTCTGAAGTGGTCGGACATTGAGTCTTACTCAACTTCACACCTTGTAACACAGGTAAGAACCCTTTCTTTGCTTAATCCATTTTGAACTTCTTCAAAACTTTGTCAAGGTATGTGCTTTGTGAAAGTCCAATTAAGCGTCTTGATCTATCTCTATAGATCTTAATGCCCAATATGTAAGCAGCTTCACCGAGGTCTTTCATTGAAAAACTTTTATTCAAGTATCCCTTTATGCTATCCAGAAATTCTATATTATTTCCAATCAATAATATGCCATCCACATATAATATTAGAAATGCTACAGAGCTCCCACCCACTTTCTTGTAAATATAGGCTTGTCCAAAAGTCTGTATAAAACCAAATGCTTTGATCACACTATCAAAGCATTTATTCCAACTCCGAGAGGCTTGCACCAGTCCATAAATGGATCGCTGGAGCTTGCACACTTTGTTAGCTCCCTTTGGATCGACAAAACCTTCTGGTTGCATCATATACAACTCTTCTTCCAGAAATCCATTCAGGAATGCAGTTTTGACATCCATTTGCCAAATTTCATAATCATAAAATGCGGCAATTGCTAACATGATTCAGACAAACTTAAGCATCGCTACGGGTGAGAAGGTCTCATCATAGTCAATCCCATCGCTACGGTTGCATCATAGTCAATCCCATGAACTTATCATGATACAAGGAAATAAATAATAACATTATTATTGCCTCTAGGGCATATTTCCTTCAGCCGCCTCCCCGTCTCCACCGCTCGTCCTCGACCTCCTCCTCGACGGCCCGCATCAAGCCACGCCGCCCCGACCTCAACGTCGCCTTTCGCCTCGACCTCGCCGCGCCGTCCTCGACCTGCTCCTCGTCGGACTCCGTCGAGCCTCGCCGGTGAACCCCTCAACGGGAGTGAGGACACCGACCCACTCTGCCTACCCTCCTTTTCCCCCTGTCCCCGTCGCTAGCGCCGCCCCGCCCGCTGTCCGTCGTGAGCGCGCTCCGGCCGCGCCCTGCCTAGCCGCTCCCGTGCTCGCACCTGCCCGCATAGACCCACGACGCGCTCGGTTCGCGCAACGCACGCGCCCGCCGCGCCCAGCTTCCCCCGACGCGCTGTGCGTGCACCGCACCTGCTCCTCGTCGCTGCCCGCTGCTCCACCTTGCCCGCTGGCCGCCTGTGCTCGCTGGCATCGTCGCCTCCGTCCGCCTGTGTCACGTCCCACCCGCGCCCGCTAGCCACGCCTGCACACGCCGCGCGCTGCTCCTCCTCCTGCCGCCCGCGAACCTGCGCCATGGCCGGCCCCCTGTTGCCGACTCTACACCACCGGCGCCATCCTCCGTCGGCGCCGCTCGTCGTCGGCCACCTGCAGCGCCCCTCGCCCACGGCCGCTGACATCACCGGTCGCTGCAACTGCGAGCTGGGCCGCGCCCGACCCCGCTCTGGCGCCCATGCCCGGCGCCCGTTAACCCAGACCGCTAAGGCTCTGGCCCAGGGGCGGAGCCAGAAATTTTGCGAAGCCCGGGCAAACTTAAGCCTGAATGTCTAACATGCAAATAAAAAATTCCGTACCGGGTAGACAATATATACTATGCATCAAACTTGCAAAGCACAAATCCACATTAATATTGAAGTGAAAATACGGACATAACAGTCATACAAATGTAATATTTAAGCGAACTAATATATCAATATTCCATTTCAGAGAGCGAATGAAGTTGTGACTTGACAACAAAAGACACGAAATCAAACCGAAGCATAGAGCCAATCAGCCAAACTAGCCATCTTGCCAACAAAAGTGTAGCCGTCTAAATCACCATGACACCATCAATATATCCTAGAAGACACTACAGGATAAGAAAATGGATTTGTTATTCACAAAAATTCAGTGTTGTGATTTGTTTATTTATTCGAAACAGAGAGTTTGTAACAATAGAAAAGGTTAAATGGAACGTATCAATAGTGTGCTAAAGAAAATCACGAGGCAAATGTCCTTTCCGAGACTTCATTGCTGTAAATGTTCGAATAATATCCTTATCATCAACTGACTTGAATAACTCGCGCTCAGTGTAACATATCATCAAGTCGTTGAACCATTCGTTGTTGATCTTGCTACGCAATTTATTCTTGATAATCTTCATTGCTGAAAATGCTCTCTCAACAGATGCAGTTGACACCGGCAATATCAAAGCCAACTCAATAAGTTTGTATACCAATGGAAATACCAGATTTTTCTTAGTTTCAACCATCTTCACGGCCAAACTTTGAACATCATCACAAGTAGAAAAATAAGCATGCCTTTTCATTTGACTTATATAAGTGAGGAGCTGCTCTCTTATTGTTCCACGATCATCATTAGAGAAGTCTTCATGATAAATTTCAGCAAGACGAGCAAGTTTATCAACATTGAACTTGGAGAAAGAGTCCTTGGGGTCAAGACATGAGAAGCAATCAAGCACACAATTTGCTCCTTCACTAAAGCGGTGATCCATCTCCACACAAATTTTGTCAATAGCAACATAAAAAATCTCTGCACGGTAATGGTGAAGATTAGTAACAGTTCTCCCTTCTCTCCTTGAACGACCACGAACTGGTATAACTTCGTCCATATTTGGTAGTAGAATACTATTAGCACCACAAAATTCTTGGACATCACCAAATAAATTATCCCAACCACTCTCTCTGAACGTTGCCAACCGATCCTTGACATCATTAACTAATTCCATGGCAAGAACAATATTGAGATCTTTTCTTTGCAAGACTTTTGAAAGCTCATTTGTGATGCCAAATAACTTCAACATAAGCTTCAGAATGAAAACAAATTTAAAGCTCTCCATTTTTTCTATCAAACCTGCTGCTTGAGATGGTCCACGTCCATATTCATCAACTGTACTAAGCACCTTTAACACGGAGGACCACATTTGATCCAAACGAAGTAAGGTAGTATGATGTGAACCCCATCTAGTATCCCCCGGTCTAGCAAGAGTAGATGATTGGTGCAAGCCCCTTCTAGTAGATATCTCACCACTCTCAAGTCTATCCAGAATATCTTGGTGTTGTGCCTCGGTCAATGCATCCCTTCTCTTACAAGATGTTGTTGTTGTAGTCACAATCAAGGAGATGTACTCAAAGAAATCATGAATAGATGAGCAACTACTAGCAACAGACACAACCACCAATTGCAGATGGTGAGCATAGCAATGAACATAGAAAGCATAGGGGTTTTCATCTACGATCTTTTTCTGCAAACCATTAAATTCACCTCTCATATTTGAAGCCCCATCATATCCTTGACCCCGTATCCTTGAAATTGATAACTTATAATGATTAAGAATGCTATAAAGAGCATCCTTTAGTGACTCGGACGTCGTATCTTTGACATGATGCAAAGTAAGGAATCTTTCCACAACCCTCCCTTTGTCATTCAAAAACCTATAGAAAAACACAATAATGTCAGTTGGTTGCATAGAGAATAAATGACAAACAAACAACAAAATAAAAGTGAAACTACTAACCTCAACATCACAACCATTTGCTCTTTCACAGATATATCACGTGATTCATCAATAAGCACCGAGAATTGTTTGTCACCAAGCTCTGCCATGATCTTCTTTCTAACTTCATGTGCACAACACATTGCAAGCTCCTTTTGAATGTCACCAGATGTCATTGTGCAATTTCTGCCACCACGGTTAAAAGCATCTCTGACTTGTTCATTCTTAGTTTTTTCCAAATCTATCATCTCTCTAAAGTTTCCCTTGTTTAGAGAAGTAGCTGATTCATCATGTCCGCGAAATGCCAAGCCTCGTGCAATGAGATATCTTGAACAACTTACAGAACAAGTTAAACGAATCTTATACTTTTCTTCTGATTCCTTGCTTGATCTAGCAAAGTTACTTACCACACTTTGTCTTTAATTATTATAATCATCATAATGCTTGACGCAAGAGTTGTGCTTACTACCATGACCACCAATATGATCTTTGAAGCCTTTATATGCATGCTTCCAATCTGTAAATCCTTCTTTGGTGAAGACTTCATAACCAAAGTGCTCAGCCCTTCCGGGTTGCTTAAAGAGAAAACAATAAAAACAATAAGCTGCATTCTTCCACTCACTGTATTCTATCCAGTCGTACCTTTTATACCAAGATTTGGAAAATGCTCTTGAGGAACGCGAACTTCCAAATTCAGTACGATGGTATTTATTCAAATCTGGTTGCATTGGACCCTTCAATATATATGCTCTCCTCACTTGGTCTTGAATATCAGGAGGATATTCACAAATTTGTTTCCTCTTTCCCGGACCGCGCTCAATCGCATTTGGATTAAATTCATTGGCAACGTTTGGCGCTGGTGGCTCTACTTCTATTTCAGGCTGCGCATCATTCACATTTTCAGTCATTTGCTCTACTTCTACTTCAGGTTGCACATCATTCATATTTTCAGTCCTTGCTCTCTTAACCAAAAACCTCCTCATCTCTGAAATTTAGTGAGTAAAAAATCTGAAGTTAGTTTTTACACAAATAAGAATATGGACTAATCACAAGTTCATAGTACAGTACAATAAAAAGCTACTTGCATCAACTACATGTATCAGATTATCAAGTATTTCTTGATGTTGCCAAACTAAAGTGAAATCGGTGAAATATTTCTTAAAATTACTAGAGGAAAGAGTCTGCAACCTGCATACTAGTTTGTCAGTCTAATTAACTTATAGTTTCTGTAGTTTCCAACAGCTAACAAATAGATTTTCTCTTTGGACTTTGGTCATAATCATCCCCAATCAAAAGTTCCTAAATAAGCCCTAAGTACATCAATCTCATTATCTCAACCCAAATCAGTTATTAAGTACGCGATCTTACTGGAAGTCGAAGGAAAGGAACTTCCTCAGCCTTCAGGAGAGGAAGGGCCAAAGGAGGGGACGACCGTGGCCACTGCCGGCTCGCCGTCGGCCTGCCGCTCGCCCAGCCCTAGATCGCCGCCTCGCCTTCAAGTCCCTGCCGCAATTGGGAGAAACCAAAAAGACGCGAGTACGCGAGAAGCCGAGAACTGTTTGGACTCTGGAGCGATCGATGGTATTCCCTGTTGCCTCGTGGGCTAGAGCGAAGTGATCGATGGTATTCCCTGTTGCCTCGTGGGCTGGAGTGAAGCGATAGATGGTATTCTATTTTTTCTAGTGGGCTGGAGTGATCGGGACGTTCAAGTAAATAACTGGGCTGGGCTGTGAAGGAGGCCTAATCCAGTTTTGCCCGGGTAAATCCACTCCGTATCGAGCAGTTTTACGTATTGTGATACGACCACTGTTGTCGTTGGAGTGCCAGCGAGCCCGGGCAACTGCCCAGGGTCGCTGGGCGCTCGCTCTGCCACTGCTCTGGCCCAATGATAGCCGGGGCCCGCCCCAGAATGTTTAAAAAAGAAAAAGGAAATAAAATAAAAATGAATTAATATAATTAATTAATTAATTAGGTTAATTAATCATGTTTAATTAATCTAATTAACTAGTTAGTTTAATTAAACAGTAATTAGATTAGCTAAATTCTAATTAAACTAAACAGAGTATGACAGGTGGGTCCCGCACGTCAGGTTTGACCCAGTCAACCCCTGTTGACTGCTGACGTCATGCTGGCGTCAGCATGCACTGTTCTGGATAATGTTGAATTAAAATAATTAAATAAATGCCAAAATTGATTTAAATCTTTTAAAATCAATATAAAATAAACCATAGCTCGGATGGAAAAACTTTGTACATGAAATTTGCTCAGAACGACGAGACGAATCCGTATACGCAGCCCGTTCGTCTGCCACACATCCTAGCATAGCGAACACGCAACTTTCCCCCTCCGATTTATCTGTCCGAAAACGCGAAACACCGGGGATATTTTCCCGGATGTTTCCCCCCTTCACCGGTATCACCTCATACCGCGTTAGGGCAC